CTCCTATAAAATGCTTACTGCAATAAGTTCACAGTCGACAAAAATGAAGTATTTCGGCTCTCTGTAGTAAAATATTTCAAATAAATGGGGTTTCAATGACCAAACAGAAGTGTTCGAAGAAAAAGGATAGAACTCCCCAGATCGTTATTAAGAGTAAATTGTGAATATGATCTATTCACAGCGACGTTTATAGAACCTACCGTTTCAGTTTCTTTTTGAATTTGCTTCTCTTCTTCTTTTTTCTCCTGGAATTGACAATTTCAGTGAGCCAACTACAAAACCATCTATCATAGTGACATTGCCTACCCTACTAACAATAGTTACATCTCTCCAATTAACGGAAATTTAGGTAGAGATACTACCTGTTTTGCTTTCCTGTCGGATTTCCCGAGTTGAAAAGAGATAGTTGGCAGCAAGATAAGAGCAACTAATCCTAACCACTGCATCTATACACAAAGATCTTCATCCTAACAAAGTTACAAAACAGTAAGTTGAGATATGCAAGCAGATTGACTGTTTCGAATGAAATGATAGAGTTAACAGCAAATTTATTTGAATCGGGGATAATATCATAACAATAACAAGGCCATGGAGCAGCAGTGCCTATTTTTATGTCTAAAGTCAACTTCATGTATACATTAACATTAACAACAGAATCTAAACAATTTTTTTATACCATGACATTAAACTGGAACACGTCAGATCATTTTGCTTTTTTAGCAAACTTATCGTGTCGCAACCACCACTGGTCCCAGTCATTATTATAATCGCGCTTGAAAACTGGAAATGACACGAGAGGATCTGGATGTATGTCCTGTAAACGGATCCCCGCTCTTTCTACCTAAAAGTTGCCATTACCAAAAACGAAAGCCTTCAAACATGTTCGATGTAGGAGTAGCCAAATAAATTAAGAATTCATTACTATGGTAGAAAGCAACAGCAAAACTCAGCCAATATGTCATTAAAAAAAGGTTAAAGTTTACGTGAGGCATTGGTGGCTCCGTCCAGTCCTTGTACCATTCCCGAAAATCGAAATTACGAAAGTCAAGGCCAAATGTGATGGTGCCTGCAGCAGAAAGGGAATTCTTGATCAAGTGTCAAAGAAATAGATAAGATTAGAAAAAACAGAAGATAAGCAAAAAAATTAGAAAAAAATACCATGCTCCTTTGCAGCAAGCAGTTGAGCTTTCAACATAGCATACTGCTCTCGACAAAGGCCACTTTTCAGAATATCGATAGGATGGTGAGTTCCATCAGACAAAAACTGTTCAATCAATACTGGATTTCGGTAATCAAAGAACAGATATTCGTCACGACACACCTACAATAAGAAAACGGCAAAATCATGAGAAAAAATTCCTTTGGCATGAAACAAAATGTTAGATATGATGTATAACACTGAACAGAGCGAGCTTATTCATGCACAGATCAATAAACAGAATAATTCAACAATCAGTTTAGCCGTACATGGCCGTGTAAAAAATCGGATCATGAACTTCATGATTGGGCCTTCAATAGAGATACTAACCGGGCAAGCGTTGTTTACATTGAATCTACCATGTTTGTCAATGCAAAATAGCCGAGGAGGAGGTTGAAGAATGGATTGTCCCTTAAAAATGGAAGTAACGGTAAATAAGCCAAGTCCAAAGTTAAAAAGACCTTGAAGTTCCTCTTATACCATCTATAGATAGGCATTCCTTTATAAGCATCATAGTATGCTGCAAATTGAAGAAAATTAATCCATATTTCACAGAAAAGATAAACGAGTAATCTTACCTTTACTTTTCATATAGGCAATTTGTTCTTCCACAGTATGCCTAGGCTTATAAAGTCCTTTCTTCTTCTCGATATGGTTGAAAGCCCATCCTGCCTAAAGAGAAAGTTGATTCAAAACTTTCCATATGAAAGCCGAAGTGGTTGATCTGATCTCAACAAAAGCGATGTTCGAGGCAGGTTAACGAAGTTAAAGATGTTAAAGATAACCTCTTCTGGAGGAAGTACTTCCCGGAACTTCTTTTGTGGCATCCCTATCGACGTGGTCGCCTGTATAAATCGACGGGCAATTAGCTGCCCGGAGCTGAACATCTAGGAATGCTAGAAATTTAGGTGTTACTATAAATTACTAACAAAACGAGATATACAGCGGATGGGAGCATGTCAAAAAAAAACAATACACCTTTCTTATATACATTTATAATTTTGCACAATGCACAACATTAGATGACCCCGAAGATATGAGAATGAGAAAGCGAAAAATAAGTTATCCGATTAAACTGACAGATAAACAGAAGAAACAATATGATACACATCAAAGAATATATTCATACTTCATAAAAATCGTCCGACACTTATAACGCTTATAAGCGCAATAAGAATCGGCCGATCGAGGGTGCGTGGCGATGCGTTGCTGCGGCCGCAGTCAGATACCATCTTGCCTGGGGTTCCGTTCTTACCTTTTCGGCACACTTGCTGACGACTTCTGAAAACTCTAACACAACCTGAAGAAAGAAGTTAAGATCTGGGATAGAGCCGAATTGCGCCAAATCGGTACTCAACAGGGGCCTCAACGCAACCGCCGCGCACCCTCGACCACATTTTAAAAAATTCCAAGTGCTGGTCATTATCCTGTGAGCGCTCATACAATCCTTCACGTGCGAACTTGAAATTTCCCTGCTTTGGTGATATATTTCACCCCCTTGAAAGGTTTGTACTTTTCGCCGTACATATCCAAGCGGTTCACTTTGAGCCCAGAAACCGCTAATTGATTGATGCGAAATTTCAATGAGATCGGCGGGGTCTCAATACTAGTTGTTCCAGAAACGGATACCTTGAATTAAACGATCGTAAAATAAAGATTATAACTGAAAGAAAGCGAATCTCTACCGTTCCTTTGATGTTTGGCGGTTTTCCAAGCTCTATTTTTCCGATGGTCCACTGGAGCAAATGCGACGTTGGATCAAATGTACATTTACCTTGTGACGGGACCAAGTTGCAATTCAAAACAGCTTTCGGCATAGACATTTCCACGACTACGTCTTCTAGCTGAAGCAAAAAATATGCATGGATATGAGCTACTTAACGTTACCTATCATCCTTTGTTATCAACCAAACACATACCACTA